CACCCGTGGGTAATCCATCGCGTTGTTTTTCAGACTGAAATTACTGCTCAATAGACCAAATGATCGCTTATTGACGAAGTGCAAATTTCAGAAAGGCTTATTCGTGTTGACACACATTTTGAAAACTTCGTTCTTGATGTTTTAGAAGCAAACACCTTAAATTTCAAAATTAACTGTAAACTGAGAGTGTTTGACGGAATTGCCGAAAGAAAGGGGGGTTCGGTCCCATACGGTCCATATGAAAAGCCCAAACGAACAACTGAAAAGTTGTTGACCTTGTCTCTTCGGAAGAATCCTCTTGTCCCAGATCACAGAAACTTTCTAGTTTGCATACAGATGAACTTGGGAGCGCGAATATAGCCCTTAGGTTTGTAGCCAGTAAGTTGCTGAGCCTCTAAGGAGACGATCCTAAGCTGCCACCTCCATTGCTATCTGTGCTATGCTATCATATGTGAACCTGTTATATTTTCTGTAAACGAACTAATTAAAAATGGATAATAATCATTGGCAGAAAATATTCTAAAGATGAACAGAAAAACACGATCGCTACCAATCCACAGACGAGCCATCTACTCGGTACAGCAAGGTAGTACCTCTTCCAATAGAACTATGTTAGATTATGAATACTATCGAGCATTTAGACCTTTTGTTTAGCTTTTCGATTATTTATTAACTAGTTCTAAAAACGTTTACGCGTAGGATATTCTCGCCATTAATACGCCTACAATTCTGTTTAGATAACACTACAAAAACTTAACCTAATGAAAGACAAATATACTTGTCGGCGTCTAAAGTTTTCTATGACAGAACTTTCAGCGTTCTATTGTTGAGGTAAACCCCTAATAGAATGATGGTCTCGACCTGTTAAATATATAGGAAGGTTAGCTAACGTAAGCCAATATGAATAGCAACGTTTTAGCTCGCCCCGTATATCTGTGCGTTCAACTCGATTACATACGTTCAATGATATGGCCATAGCCAGGTTCCATTAGGAAATATCTAAGATAACACAGCAGGGGGAAGGCGATTCAAGCAGTTCGCCGAGCGCTGTTTCAAGATCGATGACGGTGGTCTCAACTGGAAAAAATCATCGTTTCCTCGAAACAAGGTCCAGCATCTCTTAATCACACCCGTAGTAGTGAGCTAGTCCCTCGTAGAGCCCGCTGGATTGACCCGTTATAGACGTGGAACCTGTACTTCCTGTAAAATAAACTCTTACCATATCAGTATCGTTACGTGTTGTTGTCATTTTACTAAACGGACAGTTTCTAGGAGTTCTGTATTCTCCTGCCTGTCAATCTGTTATGGATTTGTCACGGGGTGTGAATTCCGATAAGTGGTTAAAAACGTATTTACTTTTGACCTTTTCTCTCAGTTATTGGAACAATTTGCTTGACATAGGGATAGAATTGGATCCGTACCGAGACGAGTTTGCTAAAAATATTGGCTACGTTCTGGTCGCCTAGGTAAATGGGTTTTATGTTTTCTAAGTGCATCTGCGATTTTTTCTACTCCTGTCATTTAGACTTTGGCGACATAATAAAACACTGCGACGTAGCAAACCACCGTTTAGATTATTTTAGCTCAAATTTACATGCCCTCTATAGGTTTTCGTTAAGTTTTCTAGACCTATTGACACCTATCAATTGACTGAGACAACAGATAGTAGCATCCAGATGAACACAACCACGGGGCAACCAGAACAGAAAATAGAAAACGGACCGTGAATACATATGAAAAGTCGTGAGTAAGCCATCAGAAAGAGAAGCCTTCTGGTTTATCTTCTAAACACTTTTAGTTTCCTGCGTGCTTGTATCTCATACAAAGTAAATATTTCTGTAGCCTTTCGATCCTACAAAAAAAAAAAGAGGTAGAATGAAACGAATCACGTTTCTGTTATGGTTCCCCCAAAAATTTTAATTGTTAATGTTTCTACACCAGCCCAATGATGGCCGGCCCGTAAAAGCTGTGATTCAAGTTCACCTCTTTTCACCCTCGTGTCGAAATTGCTCGGGTCACTTACTTACCCATACTTACATATTAATAGGCGTATTATTGTGAAGCGTTGCTTTATCCCAGTTACCAGTTACGAGTTCTGCATTGGCTTGTTCACTTATACAATTCGAATTTAGCAAGATCCTGCAGTAGAGTTTTACTCAGTATCCTTGTATATTTAGAGAAAATTAAAAAGAGTTATTTTATTTGTTTATCGTTGCTAGCTACATGTGTACTATTAGTCGCAGTTTATACATGACGGGAGTAATAAGTACAATAGCTCAGGGCTTTTTTTTCCCCTATAATACTGCGTCTGTTTCATGAAGAATCAAGCGGGTAGAAATTTCATCTATTGCTTCATTCTGCGTAATGCGCTTGTTAAAGTATGGGATCCTTAGAGGCAGCTATTTTTTCTATTATTGAAATTTAACATTAAGCCATTTTCTTTTAGTAGAACCTCAAACTCGCCTTTGGAAAATTGTGGCGTTTGTGTTCTTTGCCGACCCGCAAAGGCTGGACTGTTTTCCGCAACAGCTTAGAATCCTGCAACTCTATAAACTCAATTGTCAGTTTTAGCGTATGGGTATAGTACTATGGAAGAGCGTAACGCGATAAAAATTTACAAATATTACTGTTATTATAATAAATATTACTCCGATGGTTACGTCGAGTTCGAATGAGTGCGTCATCTCACGAGTGTCTGAAATACATAGTAACAAAGTATTACGTGTCTAAGCGGATCCAGTTGACTTTTTTCTACGCACACTTCACCGATGGCTTCATTCTGTAGTAGCGCCGCGTTAGTAACGCCAGCTATTGATTCGTCTTTATTCAAATGTGTTCATTTTAGTTTTACCGGTACGAAAATCTTCTCTGCCTTATTCGCCTATATTCTCGTGAAGCTATCTGTGACGTATCCACATATACACGATACCCGTTTGTCGGTGTGTTGAAGTTGCCCTGGGGCCAACAGATCCCGTGACGCCATTTTTTGTCTTGGCTAAGCGAGCCACACAGACGAGGTGCTGCGGTCAATTTTCTGCAGTCGGCGGGAAATACGCTGAAAATTTTCACCAGTCGGCTCGTAGACGCGCTGCCGACATCATCTGTTGATAGCCGTCAGGCTTTTCTGGGCAAACAGTTACTGCCGTACTGTAGCAGCAGCAGCATCGGCAGCGGTAATAGGGTGCATTGGTTGAACGCTGGCTTCCCAGCCACGCACGGTCGACTTTATGCGAGATCTTTTTTACCCTGGGCATTGCCTTGGGGAACATTACTGTGTATTTTGGTGTTGTCTAGCAACGGACGCTAGTCGATAGATTGTTCGCTGATGCGTCGTGAACAGAGACGAATCGATGCCGTATATTCATTCTGTCAGTTAGGTGGTTTTTTTCTTAGAAGATTTTTTGCCGCGTAAACCTTTCGGGGAACAGCATTAGCCGGTCAAATGTAATACTGCGTAAATATTGCAGGAATTGAACTTATGTTGTTGAAACTAATCGAACATTTGATTTCCATTGACAGCTACAGAGCTAATACAAGATGCAGAGAACCTTGTTATCGTGATGTCAAATTTACCGACGTTCATATATAAGACACCGCTGGCCGCCAGCAAGCAGAAAACAGCTGCAGTACCTGCTTCGTTACTTTATACTAGGTTAACGAAAACGCGTTGATGGTTTTTCTGGTTAGATGGCTGTAGAGTCATGTATCTCGGTCATATAATCGGATCGGCGTTGGTGTCGTTAGAAAACTGAGCTTTGACAATAGAACATGGGCTTGAATCGTTCGAGCGCCTTTTTTCAAATTCAAAGCTATCTGGAAGATAAATGAAATGTCAGCAGAAACATTGCTTTATCACGATAAACACGCAAATTCTGCACACCCCCTTTATAATACATTTTAATAAATGTATGCCCTTTATGGTCAAAATGCGTTGTCAGGAAGATAGCCCAAAGATGGCTCTGTCGCTCTCGTTTTCGAAATTTCCACTTGTTCTAAGCAGTGATCGATAAAATACAAAAATAACATTTTTGCCAAAGTTGAACAGGATCAGTAGGCCGTTTGCCATTAAATTACTGCCACCAAACAATTTTAGGCCATTTAAGGAGACTCGACGTTTGGTTTAGCAAAATAATTTAGCAAAAATGAATCCAGTTAGCCGTGTTTTCACTACGAAACTCCACAGAAATAGAAAAGCTGAGGTCGGAAAAGGTTTATACGTGTGGTGGGCCTGGGAAGAAATGTGTGCATCATGAACTGTTTTTGTTTGGCAAAATGGCTTAATCGGACGTCTAGTTTCGTCAACTAACGAGAGTACGCCAAGCCATTTAAAACAAATCGATCAGGATCGGTGGATAGAAACGGCGTCGTCTTGACCACGACAATGTCACAGAACATACATCTTTAGCTACCCGGCAAAAATTGAGAAAACTTCTATAGACAGGAAATTCTAACGCATCCACCGTAAAGCACCATAAAACTACTCTCTTAATGGTGTTCTTTGTGGTGTTAGTTTGGTTTTTGCCCAGAAACTACAAAAATCGTATAGTGATGGGTTGCTAGAAATATAGCTCAAAGTTATCGATAAAAACGGCTATTACATATTCAGTTTAGTAGCATTGTTGCAACAAATAGAAAGTTGTTACTTTAATTTTAACGTAAAAACCATGAGTCCTTTTTCGACCACCTAACATAATGGCTATCCTAGTTGACAATTAGTCTAAAATTCAATATTCACCTTAAGGGAGAAACATCTACCTTAAATAGACAATTTTTTATTAAATATTTTCTAAAGGTCTACGACTTACGAGCGACTTCGCCTCTGTCGGCTAGCCCCGTTCTAAGGCTTCATACTAGTACGAAAGTTCTCTACTATACGTGTGTTAAATCGACCTGCAAGGCCCAATTTAGCATTGCTTCTTTGAAATCATACTTCTATCAACGAGCCTTTCAACAGTAGTTCGTGTGTGTGTAGTAACTCTTATTTTTTCTTTCCTTTTCAGATCATGGCAATCATAATCGTATGTATAGGAGCAGGTGTCATCTACATTATGAATCAGGTACGACTTTTAGATGGAACAGAAATTACTTATGCTGCGGGCGTCAATTTACGAAAGCTAGCTAAATTTTAATGCATAAAATATAGGGCGATTTTAATAGCAGACATCTGAACATGTACAATTTTCGAAGCGTTCATGAACACTGCTCAGTACAGGCCACGCGACCATTCTTGATGTTTAATAGTCCTTTAATTTTTTTTGCCGTAGGAAATATCACTCTTTCCAATTTAGTCTTTCCTATAATTAACAGCTGCTTGACCGTATGCAATATATGTACTATCGCGGCAGATATATCGTACATGGGAGAGTTGGTAGTTGGTAAATGTTTTTTTTGGACCTATTCCCTTTAATACCAACGTTTGCACGAGAACGCTTGAAAGCAATGCATTTGGATGAATGCTATTTTTGCTGGTATCTGAAGACGATGCCTCAGGAACAATGGTGTCGCCATTAGAATCAAGGTTGCGCATCGAACGCCATCGAGTGTACGAATGTGAAAACTAAATATGCCGAACCGTCAATTACGTGGCGAAATATGACATCGTTATATACACGAAAATTTCAACATCAAACAAAGCGTCCCCGCAAGAGATGCTATGGTAGCAAACACAGTTCCAACCCACTATTCTAATATTTTCATTTATTTTTCCTTATCAGGAACGCCCCAATGCATATTCCCCAATCTACTTTTAACTGAGCTAAATTATCGTTCGTGACTTAACCATCTCCCGCCACTCCCTGCAACGAGTCTGGCATACTTCAGACCTAGCTGATGTAGTGATCTGTTTCATCTGAGTGATACAGAAATGCGCGAACAGCAGCGCCGCTGGTTATAGTTCCAGCGAGAAATCGGTTCATCCTTGTTTCTGCCCTCGCGTTATATGCAAGCACGCGAGTACTTAGTGTACATCGTACGCAAGTGGGAGCGTACTCAATTGCTTTGATTTTCGTATTCCTTCCCTCACGCCTCGTCCTCCATTAATGCTGACATTAACGTTTGATCAGTACGTTCTGGGGTTCAGGTGCAAATGTGAAAGTGGGCTTGTTGTTGCTCGGCGACTGCGAAATAACAGCAACTACATGTACAGCGGCGACGGTGGGGAGCTATTATGACCGAAAGATGAAAGGTTTCTAAGAAGACTTACGACCTCAAGTGTTTCTCTGTACTCTCAATGCGCTTATTTGCCGATCGGTATCAACAAGTAGTATGACCCCGATATAAAAGGAAGGATAAGCGCAAAAACGAAGATGATTGATTTCGGTAGTCGCTAAAGATATGTGCGTGCCTAAGTACGTTTATCACCAGTGGCATTACTGTCGCAACGTTACCTTCTTCTATTTCATCAGTCACAGTACGCAGTTAAGGATATGTAATTGATCTGTAATGCATACTATTAGAAAATGTTGGCTGTTTTGTATAAACCAAACGGCGAGCTGGGACGTATTACTATGCCGAGCAAATCAACAACAATGAGGAATCCAATACTTCTAAGAAAGTCTACGATATTACGTAGGTGTTCGGGTGGGGCTCGGAACATGCTGGAAGGAAAAGAAAAGGGTTAACTCTCAACTAAGACTTGTTGTGATCTTTTCAAATTAAGCTTATTTACAGAGTTTGTTAACCCAGTATAGCATGACGCACTCCCTATGGCCAGATGTTGATCAGTTGCTTTTTGTCTAACAGCTACCAATGTATTTCCGCATAATACTGATTGTCAATCAGAGGTTTACCGTGTATATATATACACATCTACAAGCACAAGAAAATAAGAAGTTATTTCTTCCGCTTGTTACATACAGTGAACGATCTCTCGAACTGATCCCCGCTTATTTTATACCTCTTCGGAAGTCCACCGCATTGAGGAGCTTCAGTAGTTTCGGAAAATCATACGTGCTAACTTTAAATAGAATATCAAACCGACTTTAGAGCGAGAGAAAATTCAATACTGGGTTCTTAATAAAGTGATGCGATCGTTATGGTACGTGACTACGTGACGTTATGGTACGTTATTGTTGGCTTGCGATTATCGAAATTTCAGGTTAATCCGGACCAAATCAAAATAGATTTTTCAAGCGCAAGCATCCTGGTCATTGTCATAGGAGTTCTCATAATTCTATTCGTATTTTGCGGCTGTTGTGGAGCATGCCTTAGTGCTGGATGGATGCTCATTTGGTAAGTTACGTCATAATGCAATTTAGGACATAGGACAGTTTATAATAGACGTCTACCGTCAAGTAAAAATAGACTTTGTAGAGACATCTGCAACATCGTAAAAATGAGCCAACCATTTTTTTTAGTAGTTCTGTGATATATATATATATATATATATATATATATATGCCAATTTTAACACGGCGCTGACTCCCAGTTACACGAACAACCGCCGTATTAATTATTTCCAGGTAACTTTTTGGCGTAAAAAAAATTCTAAGGAAGATCTGCTCGAAAATACAGCCAGCCCTTTTAAACTTATCATGGTTCCCCATCCCAAAATATTAATAATTATTTCGTTTCTTAAACGACATTAACATTTACGCGTTATTTTAAATAATAATGATGCCATTCGTACGACTTCTCAACTGCAACAATTGAAATTATATTAGCACCCCTGTACTACCGCTCGTAATGTGATTGAAACAGATGATGGATGTCTGATCAGGCCAGCGGAAACATCGCTCCTTGGGTATTATTATAAGCAGGGTAAAGGCCATATCAAACGTTTTTGTTAGGTCTAACCATATTATTGTATTATCTATTATCCATATAGGTTCTCGGTCATTTTGGGATGTTTACTGATAGCTGAATGTGTCGCGGTCGGCCTCGGATGGAAGTATGCGGATCGACAAGAGTTCTCGGGCCTGATGCATGGCGTTTTTTCCAGCCTATTAAGTACTGCTGAAACGGCCAAAAAACAGGGCGAGCAGGCGGAAGTTGTCGCTCAAGCCACTCTAAACTTTTTCCAGGTATCTATTAAAATTTCAGAAAATATTACATAATAATACCTAAGTCCTATCACAGTTTTCAAATAATTTAGTAAATCCTTCATGACTGTTGACGGAAACCAATATTTTCAGTTGTCAAGCAACACCTTAGGTTTTGTAACGAAATGGTCTCGATGCCGCAAAGCTCGATGGCAATATGACAGCGTTTAGATATGTGAACTTATGAAAACAAATTGATGACCGGTAGTGCTGTAGCTAAATGGTGCACCGTTTTGTGCTACGACTATACGTGGGTCTACATCAGTAAACGAGCTCTAAGTCAATATGAAATCAGTATTTTGGGAAGTTTTTAAACATCCAACGGAAATTCAAAAACGATTGTTCTAGGAGAAGCTCAAGTGTTGCGGTGACAACGGCCCAAACGATTATACGCAGCGCGGCATGAGACCAGAAGACTATTGCAGCAAGTAAGTGAATTAAGTACTTTCCTTTATTTTTGTAGCTGAACCCTAGGTAGTTCTGAAATGTAGCCCAAATCGGAGATAAAAAAAAAAAAGACCAAGGCTATAACGTATAGTAATATCAACTGTAAATGTAATCAATCAATTTGTTTTAATAAAATTGATGCCTACGGGGATATGATTAGCTAGCCTTTCTAAACGTACCGCTAGCCATTGCGTCGCTACCTGGTTCCACGGATAATTAGCTTGTACCACAGTGGTTGAGCTATAGCATGTGAATCTGACTCTGTTATGAAGTAAATAAGCTTTGAGTCGTTACGCTGCGTAGGTAACGGGCCAAACCGGATGGTCCTTCTTGGATCGCCTGCTCTGTATTCTATTGCATTGAGATTCATAGTTAAGTGAATCAGGAGCTTTATGATAGCCAAAAACATGTTATATCTCCAATTATGAAGGTCTATACTTGTGCGCGTCCTATATTGTCTTCGTAAAAAGCTATTTTCGCCCGAGCTCGCTCCATACTAATACTTCTTCAAATCCTAACCCAGTTGGAGCAACGATATATATATATATATATATATATGTAAATGAGACTGAGCGAATGAGAGGGTTAGATAATGGATGTACTTTGTTGAGATAGCTTGCTATTGATAGAAATGTAAGTAGAAAAAAGTTTCGGTGACCTTTGTATCGTTTTGAATGACCACGAGGCCAATCGTAACAAAAAAAACTGCTGCTCGCCTAAAGCTCGACTTGCGCCGTCTAGCGATTTCTCTGCGTTGTCTTCCCTCTTGAAAAAAAGGAAAAATAGCTTTAATTAGAGACTAAAAAAGAGAGGGCTAGAAAATGAAGTAATCAGGAACAAATTAAGACTATTGTGTATTGAATTTCACTTGCTTAATTACAGAGAGCATCCTTCCTCTTAAAAAACTTAACGCAGCATTACCGACTAGGCCATCTGCTAGTAATAACTTGCAAAAAAAAAGTTGCACGAAATTTCAGTCTAAAACAGCTCAATATTACCGAAGTAAATGCGATTGTTAATCCATGAAAACACTATCTAAATACACTTTTCCACACCGGATCATGAAAAATTAAATTTACAAACTGTGGTATAGCCGAGTATTAAATGAGATCATCATTGTCATATCATCAAGTACTCTCTCTCTCACTATTTTTAGACATACTTTATGGGGCTCTTCAATTGATTCATAAGTGAATATATATACCACTTTCGGAGCAGAGTTAGTGGGGATACTGCTACTATCTGACCAATCCGGCCAAGCTACAGCCCTAGCCAGCCCAAAATAAGCGCTTTGTACACTAACGTACATATGTAGACATGATAACCATTATGGATATTCTCGTTCAAGTATATTTCTACTTGCGTTGTAACAACAGATAACGGTGAGTGGAACAATTGACTGGCGGGGCAGGTAACCGTCACTATAATTACAGAACAGCAAGAACAAAGAAGGTACCGCTGGAACGATATCATTAATTATAACGCGACCCACAACAACCGCTTTGGCCTCGAGTGACAATGACATATATCGTCATGCATATTATTACATCCTGTATAATAATATGCGTAACACGTATAAACCGAGCAGGACTTCTTTTCAGAACTTCCTCTGGGCGTACATACTTCAAAAACAAGCGAATAAGTAGTATTAGCGACTGACTTAACGAGAAAATGAGAAAGAAAAAAAAGTTAGATTAGAATAGAAGCACTGAAAATAAAAACAATAATAAACAGAAACACGGAAAACGTCAAACGTCAGCCATGCAACAAATTAGATGCGTATGTTTTTAACAGGTTTCCTCGAATAGATGTATCCCGATATTCGAAACGTTGCAAAAAAATAATATGTAACGTATGTATGTACGTACGTTTGTCAAGTTGTCAAGTTGTCAAGTTCAAGAAAAATTCTACAAGAATATTATGAACAACAGCTCAAAAACGATCGCGTTCTATTGGATAGCCTCAAACCTACCTAAATATATTACACGATCTGGCAGTTCGTGGTTGCGATAACAAAACTATTCATAGATTTATCCACCAGTCACGTGAATTTGATTAATTTCGTATATGTTTCCTGTAATACGCCTTCGTCTTATGAGACCGCTGACAGAGAATTAAAGATTTTCTCTAGTCCCAACCTGAATTGCCCTTTCTTGGTTTACCCCAAGTTGAATCGGGGTTGTCTATACCAGGCAGGTCTATTTATTAACCGGGCCTTAGAATGCAGTCTTAACGATAGGACGATTACTGTTGTAGTGAAAGAGGCCAGGAATTACTGATATAGTTTTTGTAACATTTTGATGAACTGTAAAAACCTCTAGCACTTCATTGTGAATCATGCCGGTTGCTTAGGCAGCGTTGGCCATTTAATTTCATTAAGATCATTTCTAGGGTTAATAGTAAGATGTCTTGGAAAGTTTCACCCTTAAACATACGTAAAGAAAAGTCAATGGGGGCCACCTAGTCCGAAGAGGACCTCCTGTTTTGACTCTCTGTCTTAGTCTCCTGATAACGAGGGGCAGAACTGCACGTAATTTTTTCTACGTGAGTCGAAATAGATTTCACTGACAATACACGGTCACTACGTTTAACTTGATATAGTGGCTATATTGTACTAACTATGCATGTATATTTTTTCGGTCGAAAGTAACCAGGGTTGCTGTATAATAAAGGGTATATATATGCTTTTATATTTATCAAAGGAAATTAACTTTAAATTATAAGAACGTAATTCTCGCTTGTAAACTTAATTATCAGCTCACTTTTAGCTATGACATTTAACATCATAATACTATGTCTTACACAATTACAGCGATCCACACAGCTACGTCCAAGTTATTAGGAAAAATTCTCGCTGATCTTATCAAACAGATCCATACACCGTAGGCTCGTGAGTCGCGTTCTGCATGTGGGACGCTCGTATGCACAAAGAGCGGAGTTCTGTGCTCATCGCAAAGAAAAGAAGCAAAGAAAAAAACATAAAGCTAAGAAGAAGGGCTGCAGCCGACTGTGATCGGCCTCATTATCACAGCGCCCAAAACCGTGAAATAAACTGACTTCTATTAGCAGAATTTTCTGACTCAAGTTATGGATATCCTTTAAGTCACACAGCTTCTAGTTTAGATTGGTCGAGGGGTGCAATTGCTGCTAAAAGATCAAAGCAGAGTAAGGCTATTAGAACGTTTCTCTATTATAAGTTCCACCGCCTGCCTCAATCCTTGACCCTTTCAAGTTAGGTTCTGTCGTATGCTTCGATTTAAAGCCTCTTAGCATAATATAGACTGGATTAAAAGCCAATTTAGCCGTTGCTAAGGTCGATCGGCAGGCATGACTGCTAGTCGTCCTTAGTCGTCATGGGCCGGTAAACCCAAATTGATAAACCCGAAATAAATCTTACAAAACAAATTGAACAGCATTAACGAAAACGACATATTCAGTCATCCTTCCAATAAGTGGGATGCTGTATTTTTCACCCTTCACGTCAAACACGGGAGGATTTTCGTATTGAGCAGATCTAATACTTGTGTTCTCCTCGGGTTCGTCATTTCAATTACACGTAGATAAAATCCAGTTGTTTTTCTTTGTCTGTTTTGCCCATTGTTTGGCTGTTAGCATATTTATCGTCTTCTTAGGCCAACAGTAGTGGGCTGTAAATTCGATAATTGTGTGTCTCATGATCTTTCTTGGATGGAAATATTAATGTGCATTATTTGTTGGCGTTGCCTCAGGTCAGGCTAGACGCATGTGCCTCTAGCAAGGTTTGTAGCGGCCGCAGCTCAAGAGAAACCATATCTCCACTGGCTGCTTACGCCAAGCAGCTGCTCTTCTACGCACAGCTGGGTCGCTTGCGTGCAGTAAATCGTTATGCCTGACTGTGGGTAGCTTGTCATTGCGATCGGTTTTTGTTTGAGGGTCACACGAATAATCATGGTAATGACAGCAACGATTTTCCCCAGAGAACGTTTCCCTTCGACCTATCGCGTCGCATGAACTATTTCAATAAAAAGCACAGCACATATGATTATGATTCACTAAGCGGCAAAATAACTTAGAGCTGGATATTTGGTAAGTCTTTTGAAAAACGCTTATCATCCGAAGTTAGTTATATTAATATAAGATAAAGCTATCATCGAGATAAAATTGTGTATGAGGACGCGTCCTCTACTGCTATATGAAGTTTTCGACGTTCCGCTTTGATTTCAAAGTCTCCCCAACGCACGATCGTATGAAAGCAAGAAATTATACAGCATCCAGTATTATTTTTGACCAGTCGATGGTGGATATATGCAGCGGAATGAAAAGCATCGTGAGTTTCGTTTTTGCAATTCCTGCCATTCTTGTTGATATTCTTTTTTTATATGATTTTTATACGAATAATATTGACTCATAGCGAACTGTAAGCCCGCGGAGGTAGAGCGAGAGCTTACTTGCTCAACTACGCTCTCCAGAAACAGTCGACGATATCATGAGATCCGTAGCAACAGACGGCGGTTGAGTGGGCAATTCGATTAGTGACTGAACATTAAGATTATCGTACCGTGTGGCTTAATTCCGTACTGTTTATTACTGACTATTAACGAAGCAAGCGATATGGTCGTTCGACAGTAGATTTTGATATAAACGCAAACGAAAATGAGCTCAAGCCGAGGCTTCCTATGATTTTAAATATATAATAGTCGTACGTATGATAAGGCAAAGATCAATACGAAGTTAAAAAAAAGCACACGGCAAATATGTGTGATATAAAAATAGTGCTGAAAAAATAATGGTAAAAGCATGGGAAGTTTTTCCTTCGGATATCTTTAGGCTGCGAACCACTCAAGGTTGTCGAATAAGCTTGAAAAAAACTTTAGCTACGCGCGGATGATTTATCTCGATAGAGAAATCTTGATTTTTTGCTTCTTGTTGATGTGGAGATATTTCTGCAGATACACTGTCGACATCTGTATATATCTATTTATAGGAAATAATCTAACGTATTTTATTCGTTCTTTGCTTTTTACCTTAATTTCAGGCCTAGTGGAGGTATTTACGAAGAAGGTTGTACAAAAGTGACGGCAGACTTCATCGAAACTCACGGCTCTACAATTGGCAGCGTCGTTCTCGGAACTATGGCTGTTCAGTTACTCGCGATTTGTTTGGCGATCTTCCTTTACTTCACTATTGCCTAAAGAGCAGAAAACAGAACGACACACTGTACGGTGATTTCTATGCCTACATAACGTCCGAAGGCCGAAATCTAGTACTTATTATCGCAGTATGTCCATGAACCGAGATGGCGACACAATTCAACAGACAAAAAAAGCCTGTCTATACGTGTCTCGTATCGAGAAATACGAACGCGTGGCAAAGGCGAGTTTGATTGTTATCATAACTCATCTACCTAACCTTGTGCTTAGTTTTATCGTGTATATATTACATCGAATAGGAACAAACAAAAGTGTACGGTGCATGGGTTAATCTGGCAAATTCGTAAGCTACAGACTCTTGAAAAGGCACAAGAAAGGCATGGAGTAATGTCCGTAAAATATGGACACGTTCCGCTTATTTATTAAGCTCATATATTTATAATAATGAAATGTTATAGCTATATATGGATGTTATAAAATATAAGAGCAGATATATACATTAATGTGCATGTGCCCCTTAATCTATGTGCGCATCGCACAACATTATACCGTTAATTATTGGAACTGAAAGGGAAAGCTGCATTAAACGAAAAAGATACGAACCCACAATAATAACGTGGTTTTGGACGTGAACGATTTAGTAAAGAGGTAGGCTGCTACATAGCTTCAGACATGTTTTTATGACGCTGCAAACTGTTTTTCATTATTTCAAGGGAAATCGTGGTAAAATAGAGTAAAGCAATATCGAAACCTTGTTTGAGAAAGCTTTCGGTTTCCCGTATACTTTGTTGATGTCTTTTAACTGTCGCGCTTGCTACTGTTTCTGATCTAAGCAGCTAAAGTAGTCATAGACTATTTCTACAGTTGTTTGTATTATTTTATAATCATCGTTACCAAAACATTGTAACAGTTTCCTCGAATGTAAGTTGAGGTACGTTTGGTCATCACAGGTCTGTCAATATTTTGCTTTTCTCTGCCGCTGTTTGTCCTGTTGTCAACTTTTCGAAATTATAATGCGTTGATCTTTGTAAGAGGAAGCGAACATTGAGCTGGGCTCTGTCCTTCTTGGAATCATGTTTTCTTCGCCCCTGTGCACAAGGCTAAACAACAGAACGTCTTCGTTTAGCCATGTTTTTCAACAATTCAATGTTCAATTTCTCGCAGCAACAAATATCAATAATAGCAAGTATTGCTGCCAGCGTAGCCAGTAAAAACGGCCAAATTGTGTGTCTTTAACAATATACAATAGTCAGTTTAGATAAGCAATTACAGATTTTTAATCTAATGCAAGGAAAATAGTTGTGACCGGCCATTAATTATAGCTCTCTTTAGCCATTATTGTAAGATAGCAGTGTTTGAACTTGTCTCGATGTAAGTAGTCGAATCTTTTCTCCACTCAAGCAAAGTGGCCGTTGTTGTCAAAATGGATCCGAAGCTGTAAAGGACAAATGAAAAGGGGCCTAATCGCCTCTTTGAAAAGAGAGCGTCTATTAATGATCATTATCAAGCTATTCTCTCTTTTTTTTTTCTTACCTCAAGCCGTAAACACAAGAATAATGCTGCGATAAGTGAATATGTTCGGGCGTTGTTGTACACGGATGGTAATTAGATCTACTGTATAGGCAAGGAACAAATAGGCCAAGTGTGTGCATTTGAGCTGAGTTTTTTTAAACTCAAATCTTTGGATAAACACGCTTTTTCAATTGAACGGCGAAGAAGCACATGGTGACAACAACGCGTGTGCTTGTGTGGATATAGGCGTACACAGAAGAGACAGTTCCATCTACCGTTCAGTAATATTTCAATTATTCACAGCGTTTGCCAAATTGCTTCAAAGCTCTCCATAGAGTTTGAGTCGGTATTCCACCACTTCCAACTTCGAGATCTTATTTTAATATGTTCTCTGTGGGCAGGTAGTAGTTTTATTTCTGTAATACGCGCAGGTCGTGTCTCTTACTTAAACAACACTACTCTTATCGATTAAAATGTCAACAACTATATATATATATAGATTCATATAATTGAAATTGTCTTCTTTAATCGCCTGTCGGCAGGTTCTTTATGTATGTATAATTGCGTATGGGTGAATGAGCGCGGTCTAGTAAATGCGCGCGACTTCCAACATATATAATAAAATCTGTAAATTTTCTATAATAAAGCAATAATAAGTCAACAAATCTGCGTGATACGTTTTTAATCGAAACAATCCACTGTTCACACCCGCTATATGTGTTAAGTTAGGTGGGCACTTCCAGGCTTAAATTATGATAAAGCTGCGATCGAAACAAAGGAAATAGCAAAAAAAGAAGCATTTTGTGCGGTACTTGCGTGGTTGATCATATACAATTAGTAACAGCATTGGTATTTCTGATAGGTCAGCCTACAATATAAGGCTATTGTTTTTTATGATTGGAGATCAATTCACTGTGATACGTATGTGCCGATAAATTTGCAGCGTCTCCTTCCGTATATGGTACTGTCACATCCTACGAAGTAATAATGTGAACGACATGTAGCTTCCATCTCCGCTAAACTGGCTACAAAATAAATTCTCCTAGTTATAAACAGCTTTACGTTTAATATTTCGGCATGTTTTCTCGTTCAGCGTCGAGCTTGTTTAGGTTAAAGTGCTCGGTGCAATTTCTAGTGATAGCAACACGTGTGTAGATATAGAGCTGTGGTAGACATCCATTAGTACCGGACGATTATGATTGACCAATTTCTATTGTAACTAAGCTCCGCTCACGATAAAGCCCAGCCCAAATGAAAACGTTAGGACGTAGCTGACGCACCAGTGGGAAAGCGTTAGTCCTTTGTGACTCATTCTCATACCGTTTTTGCGGTCACACCCATGTAGACGGTAGGCATAGATACTTCACGGCGTCGTCGTCGCCGTCGCATAGCTGACACACGTTGGGTAGAATGTTGGTCTATAAGTTACGTTCAGCTCTCATATCGGTCTAGTTAGAGAAAACCACGCAAATTAATCCTATGAGCAGCTCGTTAGGTGCTCTTTCCGCCCCGATGGCTAACTTTTTTTTTATTTCTATGTAAGATAACATTACAGCTTTCGTGAATCATTTCAGTCGAATTTAAAAACAGACATCATTCAATTAATTTTCTAACGGGATGTAATCTAGCTTTTAGAAAATTACAATAGGACGATTACTAAGACTCATGAATTACTCGCACCGTAGCTGTTCGGTAAAGCAAGACCTTCGGTACGGGACCCAACTGGATCACGATTTACGTTACCATTTTGCGATTACTGGATAAGGTAGACCAAGTCGTCAGAGTAAGTGTGTTTAATATCTGAGACTTTAAGACTAACCTACTGTGTATATCGCTGGCTTAAGATACAAGCATGTAACAACTTTTGGTCACACTGATAGCAAAAAATTGATGGTTTGTGTAAATTACATAAAAAGGGCATTTCAAATCGTTGGATGTTATACCAACCGAATTAAGTTTCGCCTATTAACCAAACGCAAAATGAATCTGCGAGGATGGTATGAAGCGCAAATCACATCACATGTCGTTTATGATGTTTCAATGATAGCAGTGAAGTTAATCTAAGCTATATTGAAGATTTACAGGTTCTTGCTTAACAATTTCTCTTGGCGGTCAAAAGGTTTCAGAAGACGTTTCGAAAATTTTCTCTAGTAGGAGTTACTCGGCTAAGGTAGTAAACCAGCAGCGGCGGTGGTGGCCTTTCCTAAAGCTCATTTTGGTAGCCAAAATGCTACCGTGTGCTTGACCGTGGCCGCCAAGTCAGCCGTGATTCTGCTATGACTGTATCATTGCAGCGTGTTCGATAGCATGTTCGTAATGCAGTGTTATTGGTTTGTCGAAGGCTCGTCCGAAGAGTCGTTGACATGTCTATCTGGGGCCTCGCGTCTCGTTACGCCAGACATTATACAAGGTGTCATTTATTTAGGGGCTTTATAAAGTGGTTACAATATAATTGCATAGAGACTATTGTATCCTGATCCGGCCATCCGCCATTAGAAGAAACAGCATTGAAGCTTAGCCATTTCATCTTCGTACTGAAATAACCCTCGTTTATGTTTCATAGTATCAACAATGGCGACTGCATAATATGCACAACATTCTGAGAAGTACGTAGCGTACCAGAATGCATGTAGAAAATCAATTGACAAATTCGACTAATCCTATACTAAGATATTTAAACAGACATGAGCAAACACTCAACAAGGTATATTGCATTTTGTTAACGCTCCGAAGAATTGTGTGACATAAGTAAAAGTCAACTTGAACTTAGCTAGATGGAAGAAAATAAAGGGTCAGTAACAAAACACTTTGTGGTTGCTGTAGGATTCCATATAACACTATTTCACAAAAAACAAAAGAGGTTGCCAGTTAGTTGGCAGTCGTCGTGAGCCTTCAAATCAAACTATTATAATGACTAAACTAGTTCTCTGCATTGATCCATAACTTTAAGTATATAATAGGATAGCTTCAGCACTAGAGCGCCTATCAATCCTTGCCTCATACCGCTTTTAGTAAGGTCAGCTTTGCTAAAGATGCTTGTTTAACGACCTTAAGTTTTTGTGTTGTCTAATCCAGTTCAAAAGATTTGAATCCCTATTGTACCACTCCTTAAAATCCTTACTCTGCTTTTGGTTTCTAAATCAGATGCGATTTTCCATCGTCGATTCTTCCTTCTTTTCGAGCTAGATTCTTAACGCTTTCTTCCATTACACAGAGTTACCAAGGGCAGGTAGGACGAGCTCGAAGAGGTTAGAGGCCGATAATTTCTTTCATTAAAAAATCGATAACTACAGAGAGCGTTGACCAGTGGTCTACTAGAACTGTTCCAGGAATGATTTTGAGCCCGATACTGGCAAGTAGCTTATAGTTCAAAACAATCAGGAGCCCGTCTCTATTATATTGAAACGTGACCCAAAGACTTAGAAAAACAAAGAATTTTCGATTTAAAAAAAGGAATGCTCTAACGTCAATAGATTGCCAACATTGTCAATAAATTAATGCTAGTTTTTGAAGAGAGTATTATGTGGATATTTGGTAATACAAAGGTGCCGCTTCATAGGGCAACCGCTGATTGTGACCAACCCTGAAATCAAATGCGATATGTTGGTGTCATACGGACCGTGTACTATGTCTTATTTAGTTTGCAATGCTTAAGCTATATTATACTGAACCTAGAAATACCTCGTGAGCCTACCATCCTCGATGAGCAGCCTCATGATGTCGCTAAACCAATGAAGAAAGTAATAATCAAGGTATAATAAAATGATAATGTATATTTCGGACGTTATACTCAGGAAGCTATGATATAATACATTATACAGAAGACTGTTATGTGAAATACTATACAACGAGTATTATAAAATTTCTTCAAATGCTCTTTACGGTTTACGCTCGACCGAGTCTTGTAAGAGATCATGTATATAAACTACGAGACGACATATATTTATATATTAAACTAATATAAATTTCATAGTTAATTCTTTTAAAAATAATTTTATTAATATCAGTAGTTGTAAATGATAAATGGGCTCCGCTTACGGTATTAACTAGTAGCCACTGTGTAATGACACGCGTATTGTTGTATGGGCATTATTTATTAAATGAAGCTACGCTAATAATGAAAAACGAATTTTTTATTATGGATAAAACAATAGGTGGAAAAACCGAAACAAACGTACTACTTCCATGATGCTCTAATAGGAAAGTCCTAAGCTTCCCTACAGAGCTCTAAATTTGAGTTCTAATAAACTTTGCATAATTTTCTTCGCAAGGCTTGCTTCGACTGCAAATTCCACAATTTTTAGTCAATTCTCATTTCCGCCTAGGCGCTATTACTAACTCTTTACTTTGCCAAGGGAAGTTTGTAATATTCGGTTCTATTTTACAATGCGAGCCTTTGATGTCCCCCGACCGTATGTCTTGGAGTCTCTCTGTCTGCGAACTTCCATGCACACTTTGTTTGTCTGCCCTCAAGAGAAGCCTTTGATAGAGAATCGGTCCTGGCAAAAGGGGTTGCGGGGTTCCCAGTCCATTTGAATCATGGGAGCAAGGACGTTCGGCCTGCTAGAATGGGGTCTTGGTCAACTTGGCTAGGAACCAAGTCGGTCGGGTCCTTGTGGCGCCAGGCCTTACACCTTAGGAAACACAATTTATTCGACCTTCGTCAATTTGTGAGCGCTGAACAGCCTAACGGCCCAACAACAAAGATACAAGACCAAGCGAGAATATATTCTCTAGATCGAAGAATAGCAAAAAGAGGACGAGGTACGGATATCACTTGTTTGCAGACAGGCTCAGTGCAATTATTCCACAATCATTTAGCAGAAAATATTTACTTATTTAAAAGATGCAACATATTCGAGGTAAGTTTCAACAAGCTATATATAATAATATACGCTTTTTTTAAAATCCAAATAAGTATCTTTGCTTTGCATACTGATCTTGCCATGTCTCAAGACTATCTGGGATATCAGAGACCACCTAGTGCCTTTTCAATTTTTTGACTAAGTATCATTAGTTAAAGTTGACAACTCGATGAAAATAATTTGATGCGAAGATCCATAACTAACTCAGTCTTTACTTATGTAATAAAAAAATTCCTAACATATGGACATAGACATACTAACAGTACGCAACAGGTATTCAAGTTGAAACGGTTTGGTATAATTTGTGCTCGCATATTTACCCCTCTAGGACGACATTATGTCCTACAACGATGGTTTCTAACAGCCACGGTTAGAGATTAGGTCGCACTGAATTATCAGAGTTCAGGGCCATTTGAGTGCACAGAATTAAGGGTGATTAGTCAAAATTTAGATCAGGGTTGCGCACGAAAGTCTCTGTAAAGTAGAATGGAGAAACGTGTGAAGGCCTTCGGTGGAATTGCGTCTACTCTAAATAGATGGGTCTACGCCAGCACCACAGTGCGTACAACAGATACGACGCTAAACTATGATTAGGTACACATGAACAACTTCCAAAGCTTCTGCTTTGTTTTTTAAGTCCGAATATGGACCGCACTGACCCGATAACGCCTACATAATGAGGTCAGGGTGTTAGCGTCAAATTTTATAGATCTTGTACGCTAACTCACCGTGGCCATTGGAATTGCATAATACTATATCAGAATTCTCCTGCTTAGATGGGCTACCTGCGATGACGACTTCTGATCGGTCGACGCAAGTTAACACATTTAGTCTCCTGTATTCTCTTTAACCACGCAGTTGATTTCAGAGATTAGTATCAATGGAAGAACTTTACTCTGCAAAAACACGAATAAAATGGATGCATTATATTGTATAGCATATGAATAGGCATGATACTTTCTAACCGCTAAAGACTTTCAAAGGAAGCCGAACTGCACTGGCTACCCTCAAATGCAAACGAACGACCACGACCGCAAGAACTAAATACGCCTGGTTCACAGAGATAAAATAAAATGTAATTCAGGAGAGAAAAATATTGAAATTAATATATTGTGTCTGACAATGCAAAAATTAATTTTGTCAACACTCAACGTAAAACTTCGGCTCGCACAAATTGATGTCCATAAATCTTTGGCAAACTGCAAACATTTCTTCGACCATGAGCATAACTTACCTCGCCACACATGCATCTCTGTACCGCATGTATTGCCCTCAACACTTCGACTGAATTTCTTTCGAATTCGGAAATCTCGATTGAAACCGTTGCGACCTGCAGCGAAACACTTAAGCCGCTTGAGGCGATCATTGAACGCCCATATTTGAAGAAAGCTAAAGCTATAACGTTGTATAATGATACAGCACCTTTTCGCCTTAGACAAAAAATCAGACTCGTTATACTTATCAATAAGTAAGTTGTCCACCATCCTTTATTTGTTCGTCTGACTCTTATAGAAGTATAAACATATACTAAATACATACATACGATATACATATAAAATATATATATAATTTTTTTTAATTTTCGGGGTTGTACCGGGTGCTTAAAAGATGTTCTGGTCACCCCCCGCATTTGCTGCGTACTGCAAAAGTCATTTATTTTACTAGACGACGCTGACATGCTCACTCTTATTTCTATCGTGCAGCAATGCTTCGCAATCGTCATGAAGTCTTCAGTCGCTCATTAAGTTATTGATATTTTTAAAAATGTTTTAAATTTAATAGATTCCCATTTGTCGTATGTGACGCAGAACCGCCACCACCAATATGAGTACAGCCGGCCCAGAAATCACTGCTGTCGTTGCGCTTCCAGTCAGGTACTGAGCGCCACAGGCCGGCGGACATACTACGTTCACAGTTTCTAAAAGGGGAGAAAGATCCCGATTAGGAGCATGCTTTTTAGTACACTACGCAATACCCATAAGTATAGCAATCCAATTTGTTCACTGACGATTAACTTCTATACAACAACAATACCAACAAAACGCCAAAATACAAAAAAAAAAAATATCTGATTAGGAAAGGCTGGTTTTTGGAGTACAAGGGGAGACCGAAGTATACGATAATGATGAAAAACAATAAAATGAGGTGAGGAAATATCGAAGGAGTGAAAAAGACAAAGACTTCAGCACAGGGTAGTTCTCGTGCAAATGGGAAAGGAAAAGACTTCTACTGCTTCTTTTTTTGGGCATCGTCGTGGGCGTCGCATTGATAGAAGTGGTTCTGTCAAGTGTATCTTACATAAATGGTCGCATATGAAACAATGTCTCGGTTCAGGTTATACTCATTCAGTCAATCTTGCCTTGTGATAGACCATGATTTAAAGATATAACACGCATTTTTCTTACCAAACAAGTTGATGACGATTTCAGAGGAACCAAGTTTATTTATCGCTCTGTAATAAAAAGTAACACTAAGTTATTGTTGATTGCAATTTTTTTTATAAAGCAGATCACAAATAACATAATTGTTACGACTTGATTCAGCCTAGGTTGCTAACGCTAACTAATTGTTATTCAACGGTCTATTAGTTGATTGGGGTCACAAAGTAAACAGTTAGCTGACAATAATTTCATCTGTTGAAAGAAAACTCTTCATCATTTGATGCTAAAGGCAACTCGTAAAAATACGATATTCGCGCATAATCAAAGCTATGGAGAGCTGTTTATTTTTTCCGTTTTTCTATTTGCGGCGTTTTCATAGATACGTATTAAGGACAAAAAAAAAAAACACGTAATGGTAAAAGTTTCCGATGACAAAGGGAAAATAACGCATGCACACTGTTCCATAAGCACTAGGCACTATTCTACTGTACCTGCATGTATAATTGCCATACTGTTTCTTCTCGATGGCTACAGCCCGCAAAACAGAATCAGTGAACTCATCAGCGGTGGCGAAAATCGAGATCCTGTAGTGTTGGTTATCGGAAATCTAGTCACCATAGAAAAACAAAGAAACACACAATAGAAGAGCTGAATTTAGAACAGCGTAAAAACTATGGAGTATTTTTGTTCTAAAGAATTAGTGATCATTTTCTTTTAACTGTCGTATCCTCACAAAACACTTATCATAAATAAGAATCTTCGCATTCGAGGGTGAATAGTGGCGCTCACCTGATATCCGTCCTTCCACCACTGAATTGAAGGTGATGGGAAGGCTTCGACGTGACACATTAGGTCCATTGGATATTGCAAAGCCTGCCCGTACCTAATGGCCCGTGTAATAGTCAAAAACGTTATTATTCACGTTTTAATTTGGATCTTAATCCGATTTGATTTTGCCACAAAGTGAAAAAGGTGTGTAAACTTTTTGTCGCTCACTGTGTTATTTTCTAACGAAGCACAAAGCTGTATTAAAAGACTTTTATTTAAACAGTTTATATGTTCACTTGTTTCTGAAGGATGTCTCATTGGTGCTTTTATTTAACTGACGTGTATATACTTTTTACCTGCTACGATCCGCTGTGACAACAGGAGGAAATTCAACCTCAACTCCGACATTTCTTCGAGCTCCTTTACCGACACGATTGTCAGCTATACAGTAGTAAGTGCCTCGATCATCCTTCAGATATATATTTTTTTACAAGTTCGAAAAGAACAGATCTTAGAATGCCAACAATGCTAAAAATCCTACTATACATTTACGTCAACCAAATATTTTCGTTAAGAATTATTTATATAGCATAAAAGAATATATATATATAATAAGGAGAAGGCACGTCATCTTAAGAATTTCACGTTCGTTAACGTTAAGAATCTCAAGGTAGCAATAACTGTATTTACCCTGTCTTTGTTCTGAGATGACCTACTAGTTCAAAAGAGGAAGCCCTTTTCAACAACTTCTTACGTCGTTATTAATTTACTATTATGCTAGGAAATAAGCAGCTTAGTTAAATTGCAGATAGCCAAGCTCTCTGGCCGATAATTCTGTACTAGCATGGTCAGTGGACGTCTATGAACTAACCTTGGTGACTCCGAATATAGATAGCACGTTCCCGCGATAGATCGCACCGCCCGTTGGAAGAAGGTCGTTGTTCTCACGTCGCCATGTGATTCGCGGCGGAGGAAATCCATCAGCGTAGCATTCGAGCGAAGCGTTGGCACCTCAAAACAAACGAAGTTCCAACAACAACTAGAGTAGTAGTTTTTGAAGCCACAATCAACCCAGCTACGCGAATTTTTCTTTCCGTGTCATAGCGATTTGATGTGAACAGTTAGTCCATATATTTGTTTGCGTGTCTAATTAGATCGATACTAGAATTACTTAATCTTTCGGGAAAGGAGCAGCAAAACAGTCAAATCTCAATAAAAATTCCGCTGGAATGACTGTGTCGCTTATCTGAAGTGCCGCCAAAAGTGAAGAACTGTCCGTCCGATGCAATAAGGATTCTTCGTCACCAGTCTGACAAAACAAAATTCACAGTACTCGTCTTAGTTGGCAAAGCAAGTTTCGATGAGCTTGTAACTTACCGGTTGACGTAATAATCGAACGTGTCGAGTTGTCAGAGATAATTGGTGGGATGCGGACGTGTAGCCAAACATCTGCCGTGATCTTATGAATAGCCGAGGTCGCCACCTATAAAAAGGCGCGTAAAAAAACGACGTTCAAATTTAATTTTTTACCCACCATCCAGATAGCGCCTTTTTCAAAGAAAATTAGTAAGTTCCACAGTGAAGCTGTGATGCGGATGACATCGGTGAGTGTGATTGTAAAACTGAAACTTCATATTATTACCTGACACTGATAGAGTCCTGTGTCAGTTTCTTGAATCTTGGAAATTAATAGGGAAAAGGTGGACGATACATCGTCATGACGTATACTGAATCGAAGCTCCGGAACGATGACGGAACCACCTAATGAAATTAATCCGTACACAAAAATTTATCTAATGTCGGCACTTCATACGAACTATGAGTTCCGCCCTCAATAGCAATGACTTGCGTATAAAACAGTAAATATAACTAATCAATTGCATTTGACATAAATAGAGTATTCACAGCACGGGACAGGGCAATAAGGGTAGACAGACCTACGCAGGAAAGCAGCGCTAAATAAAAATCATTAGACAAAATTAAGGTTCTGTTGAATATTGTTTTCTTATCGTTCGCATTCACTCACCGGTTGATATAATCGTGGGACTTTCAGGGTGCCGAGGATCGATCCGAACCCAGAGAACTGGGTAGCTCTGTGCATATTGAACTGAACATTCGAGCTCGGTTGTATCCCCGATGTTGACCACACGCTCCTTCGATATGTACGAGATTGTCGGATTTTGCTGGCACAGCGCTATAAAAGAAAAACGCGCCATTGACACGAGTATCATGGTCAGTGTAAACAAGCCTGTCTGTAGTTCAATTGCAATGACTGTGTCCCAGCTAACTTATAGAGCTTACAATAAACCTTACACTGGAGAATTCATTACTTTTTTGTTTAGGATACATAATTTTCACATAAAGAATTGAAGTCTTTGCACGTTAGTGCACTTAGCCGGTCATATAGTGCCTATTACAGATAGAAGTCGCTCATATATCAGCATTACACTTCAGCTACTGCAAGTTAGATCGTGCAGAGCGTTTCTTATGCAGCAAACACTTATATTATGTAACCATTATACATGCGTTTCCTATCGCATGTAGATGTAAACTACACATTCGTATGCTCGCGCTATACACTCGTAAAATGCCTGGCCAGAATCGAGTGGTATAATAAGTGCCATCAGCAACTGTTAATGTTAAACTTCTATTTCTTCCTAAAACAAAATACTTGCTGGCTATTTCACTTACCAAGTTCTAGTAAAGCCAGCGCGACTAGCACCACCCTTTGCAACATTCTTGTCCTTTATGACCCCTTATGTGTCCTCCTCCTTCAGCAGACTTCTCTGACGTGCCTTAAGACGTTCTTAACCGCATTCTTAAATTGTATTTCACTGCAAATCCAGAATATTCTTTAAATCTGATCACAAACACAAAATACTAAGCAAATAAAAGCGAATACGTTACCACAGCTGAATCCTATTGGCAAAACAAAAAAAAAAACTGCTTTTTATAAGACATTCAAGTTCGTCGGATACATTGCTCAGATGAAAAAATTCTGAATGGCGTACTCGGCGTTCTGCTGCCACTTTCACTTTCACCAGGAATAGGCCTTCATAAACGATCCTGCCACGAACAAGCTATCAAAGTACGTGCAAGCCTGTACATATAATACCCAATTTTTTTAGATGGCCTCATCATTGTCCACCAACACCAATATAATATAGATCACATATGCGGTAGATAAAACAATCGGCACTTAGTTTAGCCTCGACTGAATGTTTGTCTAACTTTGCGGATTTTCATACCTAAGGATTACGAATATCATGAGTATGGCGAATATTAGTCAATCGGTGAAGGTATCTGAAGTGTGTTAGATCGAGCCGCACGTGAGCGTCGTGCTCAACGGCTCGGCAGTGGTTTGCTGCCGATCTGAGTTAGATGACTGAAGCGACGCTAAAGCCTGAAGCGCCGTCAGACGCCAGAAGAGAGTGGTTCGTAGTGATAACAACGGCGCTAGGATCGACGTCAGACAGAACTGTAATAATAGTAGCCGTAATCGTAAGCAGCCGAAAAACGGTTCTGCGAGCTAAGGGAGCGCGGCGCATGCGATGCAGTTGTCATCCGTTGAGACGGATAAGAGGAAAGACGCGATATATCTCTGCTCTCTGGACATATTCCAAGTAAAAAGCAAGCGGTTTCACAAAATGTACAACTTTATGAATACAGGTTAAACTAGGATGCACTAAAGACAAATGCTTTAAACTAAGTGTAATGCGTTAGTGTCCTATCCATAATGCTTTGAACAAATCAGATATAATAAAGCAACATTGACTGACTGTATGGTTTTCGCTTTTTTTCTTTTCGCTGGTTATCAAAGAACCGCATGCTCTGAAATCTGTATGTGTATACGTATAGACATGAGTAGGGTCCTCGGGCGTGTAATATCTCCACAAGGTATGTGGACGACATGTTGCTTGGTTACTTTTATTGACCCAGGGTTCGACCATGTAGTTGCGGATCATCAAACTTCTTTTCTGATGTAGAGAAAAACGTTGAAAAAATTACGTTACTTGAAGCACGGGAAGTTCATAGACAGGAAATTTTATTTCATATACAAATATGTGTAAACATTTTCACTTTCGCACGATATATGTATAAACGATATGTAAACGCACCTTCATCCTTTTATATATGAAGGTGCGTTTACATATCGTTTATAATATATTCTCGCATTTCTTGAAAAGACAGCATGTCTCATAGATCATTATAGGCCCTTCTCAACATACGCTAACAGATGAATTGAATTAAAAAAACTACAAATCAGAAAAGTGTTCAATATATTGTGCCTAACTTAGTATCGATAGTACTGAAGAAATTCCCAATTTTTTTTTATTTTTTCCAAATTTACTGTACTAAATTGGTTTATGGCACGGCATAAATTGTAGAAATGGTCAATGAACGGGCTTTATTATTATATATTGAATTTGTAGTAAATTAGCACAACCTTTACAGCTAGTGCCACATACGTCACGAACACTATGCACAAACAAACCTACACTTCAATATATGTGTATGTTTTATATATGTATTTATAAGTCCAGTTGTACGATTATACGCAAGCAGGCTTCTGAGTAAGGTCTGTCTCTAGGGAGAAAGAACGCTTGTTCTTTCGTAATTTACTTTCATCATCGTAGCCTAGCTGCCTTTTTAGGCTTTGAAATTCATACCTGACACTGGTTTGTTATCGCTCGTTATATGCCTCATTTGCTAGCTGGGACAACACATCGAATATAGGTTTCACGTTATCTGGAACTTCGAGGTTTTCGTTCTGTTTTGCCTGCCTTGCGCATGTTGCTATGGACACGCGAATACTTCACCCTATATAGCATTACGATAGATCAATGCGAAAATTGCAGCACTGTCTTTTCTTTGCCCACCAGCGGCATACCGTTCACACATTGTCTCAGTAAAAATTATACTGAACAAAATTAGATAACAGTTGTTTTCAAACTTGAAATGGTTTCATATGATAAAGAGGACAGTGGGTTTGAATATAAAGGCAATGCGAAAGATACATTCCATCAAAAGCCTAGTAGTACCGGTAAACTCGAACGTTTACAAGATCTTTTATAAGTTTATGTATTCAAATGTAAGCAAGTCAAACATTACAACTTCAAAACTTTAGCTGTCTATCGAAACCAATAACTTTTCGCAGAACACGCTATTACGACTGGGCGCGGCAGGTATAGTTCTGCAAAAAGTGCAGCTAGATTTAATGTTATGAAACATTTTGACTTACGTCACATTTCGAAATGCATATGGTTATTCCAGATTTTCTGTGATACTTTAACCAAACAGGCGTGCTATGAAATACTGTTGTTTTTCGAAGTCTTACGACTGAAACTGGCGCCGAGTTTAGGGTCAGCGCTGGCTTTGGTCATTTGTTAGTATAGCCGCTTCAGGTAAGATTCTGCCCCGGCGAACGCTAGGAGAGTTCATACTGTAAGAGTGTGTGTCAAAAAATGTGCCAGCCTTTAAGAAGGCCAAAAATGTACTTAACCAAATAAACATAATAATAAAATAAAAATATACTAACAAGTCAGTAATTGTATTTAGTTATACCACATTAATTAATAGAATACATTTTTGAATACAGAATTTCTTTAATCAGTAATAAGCACTTTTAGGAGATGCCAGCCTTTCTCAAAAAAAAAAGTGCGATAGATATTAATAAGAGGTGAGTGAAAGATCTTTGCCTAGTTTTCTTTATTATGTGTTTCCGACTACAATTTGACCAGCAAAAGGGAAATACCGTACTGCATTTCTAGTTAGTCTTTCGAGTTTGGTGGTTCTAGCGAGTTTGGTCGCTGATACGCAAACTCTTATTATTTCAATAGCAGAACCTCATTCATAGACAGTGTCTAAGCTGATCATCGACGTGAATTTATCATATTAGCCGTATTCGGCTTAGTTTTTTGATTGCTTAAAACTCAATTTACGTATAAAGTCAAGTTCAGAAAAACCAGCAAGGTGTACTTCTAATGATCATATATCTTAGATCGAAAATCATGAAATTCTTTCAATCTATAAATAAATATTATGTATGTACTGATATAGCACGCACATCCGATAAATGAATATATCTATGGAAAGTACACCTTGTGTGAGCTTTACTGAAGTAAAAAAAAAAGCAATGCTGTACGGTGTCGCATAATACAGAGATAAAAGAATTCAGCAGCCTCTATATAGACGCCATAGTTAATTCAAATCGATTGTTTGGAATAGAATTTATTGATTACAAAGTCAGAATACATATATACACAGATATCTATCTTTCATCTTGAGAGAGTATGTACGATTCACTCTTGTAATGAGCGTCTTATGATATTTAGTCTCACTGAAAGGCTGATGCCATTTCAAGTGAAATTGTGTAGGGCAAATAATATCCGAGAGATTTTCTAACGTTCACGTAAGTGTTCAAACATACGGCATGCATACGTCATCCTACGACTATGCCATATTAAGCATCGGCTGCTTCCAAAAGCGAGCTTATCTCTAAATGTTTAAATTAACCTAACCAAAGGAATCTTACGAATTCTTAGTATCGCTTAAAGGTATCGCTCTTACTTTTCCTTACCTACGATAAAATAGCATTTATTTCATTTAGCAACCAATAGAAAATGCATTATTTTTTATGGATAGCATGTACAGCTTGTACAACGTGTAATACAAGGCGAATATTCACGTATGTTGTGAATTTAAAAAAATGGGGGCATCTAACTGTTAGATATCCACTGTGTTGCTCTACAAATTTAAGACTTAAGTTGCGTGGAGTCTACTGACTCCACGCAACTTAAGTCTTAAATTTGCATAACTGTTCTTATTTCACAAACAAAGCCAGAAATAAAAAAAAATCAACACATTCGTATCGTGTTGGTGGGGTTACCTCTTATTTAGTTTCTATGTACGTACATAAGAATTATTTGAGTGTGCTTATTTCGAGTGTGCCTTTAGGTAGTTGTTGTCTAGGCCAAGATATCTGCTGTCTAAAGCACCGGCAGTACCCAATATAAAAATTCGCTAACTAACACATAAGATCTCTTATCCTCACTATCACCCATACGAACAATGACATTTTAATCGTAAGTTTACACTTACGGTCAGTAATACATGTGCTATTGCTTAAAAAAAAGAGCAAATATATATTGCATCTGGGATTTTGGTGCTGCGATACCCTTAATTCTTCAACCTAAGAAATCAGTTCCTACCGAAAAAGATCATCGAGTCTAAAATTTTGCTGCAACTCTTCTTACAAACGGCGATATGGAAGCATTGTCTTCGAGAATCTTGAGTTGGTTCGATGTGGCTATTTACATCATAGGGATCACGCCATGTTAATTTCCGAGTACTTACTTGAATGAGGATATGTATATGTATGTGCTGTTACAGCTCAGCCGTTTGAACTTTTCATATACCTACAAGGATTCTTCAATAGATCGTTCAATACCCTAATTCGCGTAACCTTGTTCTATTATTGACTTTTGCGACCCATTCAAGAACCGAAGAATGAATTGTATATCGGAAGGCCGAATCTTTGGGGTTTGCTACAAGGCTAGAAATTTAAACTCTCAAAACTCCCTATAAACTTTATTTGGGAATTAGACTAATTAGGCGGCAAGATCGTTATGTATTACGTTTGATTCTTCACTGACACTAAGTAGGAAATTGAATTGTTTATGTATGTAAGCAGACCTTACTGTAGCTCACCGTTATGGTAATAAGCTACTGTATTGCATGGAGATCTTACCACCAGCGTAGCAATTTTCCACTAAAACACAATACCCAACATTAAACGTATTTTATAATGAAAAATCGGAGCTAAAGATCAAGCAAGGGAGTAAGCACTGATAATTACTGTTCATTCTAACTTTATTCAGATGCATATAGATCATTCTCAATTCCTATTGTTTGATGTTGTGTTTTTGGGTGTGCGATCCAATTTTTACAGATCTCGTCAGGTTACATGAACAGATTTATGTTTATTGAAAAGTATATTCGTTACAATTTTAAATTTCATTATGATTTGATACGCTAGGGTCTGCATATTTTGTGGATTTTTATATATCAATAGACCAACGAGCAGTTCCAGATTGACTAACCAGTACACAGGTTAGTACCCTCGATGCAAAAAACCGGCCCGAACACATTTTTTGTTCACTGCCCGTTAACCGATATGATTGCCTCAATTCACCGGCACAACCCGCAGCATCGTATGAAAAGAGCATCTTACAGCTAAATGTATCCCATCGCAAATGGCTTTTATTTAGCTATCGAATATCCCATAAACCATTAATCTATTTAACACGTATACACGCTCTCGTTAATAGTAAAAGCCATTTGCCGTTTTATCCATCAAACGATCGGTTGATCGACTACCAACCAATTGGAGACATGCATAGATCAAAGTCGCCTAAATCTAGAAATATAAGTAAATTTAATCCTGGGCTGTTACGATAATGAGACCGTGCACCAATCTTGAAAATCCGAAAGAAGTTTCATTTGGAATAGCCTATTCAAATAACAGGCTTTTAATTAAAGTTGCTAGACGCGTTCTCTATTACGTCGTGAACTCCTTGTCGTTGAGAGAAATTATTTTGCAACTACTCCAACGCAAGGATTTCTTGACCGTATCACATTTAAACATTAAATAGAAATTTAATAATACTAAGCCCTGTTTGAAGTAAAATAGGCATGACAGGCTAGATAGTCAGATATTGCCACCCTAAGCCTAACTTTGATTTTCTGGCGATTGCCCTTCCGGCATCCAAATCATCCCCTGTAGAACCTTTTACAAGTTTAAACTATATTTCATTCAACAAAAAACACTAATCTAGTGCACCCCTTTCTTGCTTTCCCAGATAGAAAATAAAATACTATGTTTTCGTAGAACGTCAGTCAATGCGCATAAATTAGTATCGAAATCTTTTTTTAGCTATTCTTGCGCTACGGCTACCTTATTACTCCTTACTGGATTCCTACTGGCCAGTCTTTGTATTTTTGCTTTTTAAGCAAAGGGTCAGTGGTATGTATTAGAGTTTGCTCCAGGCATAGGCGCGTACCGAGCATACTGGTTAATGCCGCGCGCAAAAGGGTTACCACTGGGGGAAGCACCGCCGAACTGAGGTGGTCCTGTGGGTGGTGGGCCCGTCATTGCGGAAGGCTGAAATGAATTTTAATGCAGGTAGTAAAAGTCATGGTCCATATAGGATACTAAAACACATGACAGATGTTTCTAGTAGCATTTTGAACATTTCTCCTATTTTTTCTTTCAAGTGTTAATTCTATATTAATTATGCTTAGGGGGATGTAGCATAGTTTAATGGTCGAACGATACTGCGTTGCATCGATACCTGTGTTTGCTGTTGAGTCGGTTGTTGTTGCAGCTGTTGGGGTTGCTGAGGGACTCCTGCTGGCGTCACACTTTGAGATGGGTTTGTTGGAGGTGCGTGGTTTTGTTGTGCGAGAAGATCGCCGCCTGGTTGTTGTAATGTTTGTGGAAGATAGCCAAGGGGCGCTCCCTGCGATCCAGACGTCTTCACATACACGCCTGACTGGGATAACGGGGCGACCATTCCGCCTACTACTGCACTAAAATATTTGTGTAAAATGTAAAAATGTAATAGAACAGTTTACGCTTCTTAAATGGAATGAACAAAATGAAAGCATTTTTAGTTTACAGGAAAATTTTAGCTACCATTTTATGCACACTATTTTAACTTACGGGTTCGGTTGCGATGGGTTCTGACCCTGCTGTTGTGGTTGTTGCGCCTGAATCGGAAGTTGCTGTTGCTGCTGGGTGTACGGAGACGACGTGGGCTGCTGGGCAGCTGATGTGGGTGGCAGCGAAGGGTACCCTTGGGGAGCCACTTGGGCCATGCGCATCGGAGCTGGCGATGGAGCGACCCCTGGAGATGGGAATAGCGACGCAACACCTACCGAAAAATGGTCGTCTTTTAAAAGCTGTCTAACTAACGTATTAGATAGACAATGTAAAACACTGCTTTTGCGGGTAATAATGTACTTATATGCGTCTGAATTAGTGTACAAACATACAGAAATTTACCTTGGTTAGACGCAACTGTGTGTCCAATCGGGGTTTGGGAAGCCTGTTGATTCGGTCCAGGTTGTGGCGGATTCTGCTGATGAATAGAGCCAGGGCCTTGCTGAGGGTTGAACAGTTCTCCCGGGCTTGAAGAGTGCTGTTGGCCGGACGCCTGTTGATGAAGGGCGGACGTCTCACCGACCTGCGAGCCACCTTGTGACTGCGGAGTCGCACTACGCCCTGCTGGAGATGGGCTCATCTGGAGTTTCGTTTCGTAGCACAAAACGCCGAGTTCAATCATGGAAATGTATAAAAACGCAAAAAATCATCTATATAAGCCACTGGGTTCTGCAAAAGCTACGATTCTTTATTTGTGTCTATCCTGAAATTTCGCAGTACTAATTATGAGGAAAATTAAGATATTTTTTTTAATTTTTAATTTTATAATATAATTTTTATTTTTTATTTTATAAGATAATTTTTATTTTTTATTTTATAAGATAATTTTTAAAACTGTAACGTTTTTTTACAGAGGAAGTTTTTAATATTCAATGATAAAGCGACAATACCTCGCCCACCTTCGGGGGAGCGCGGTTTACAACCGGTTGAAAGGGCCCAGAGGCATTGGGTGCTATCTGTTGCTGAGTAGAGCCTGGTCGTGATAAGGGCACGTTAACAGACCCTGGAGAACAAGCATTTTGTGTTGAATTTCCTTGCGCTGGGAAAAGTACTCCCTGATCCTTCTTGATTAAGCGTAAACAGTCATTTAAACCTCCTGGCGGTGAAGATACGCCTAAATCTCCATTTACTGAACATCAACACACAAAAATTAAACGCCAAGTTTGTCAATACGTACCGCCATTAATTGCAACGGTGCTTCTGATTGACGGCATAATTATAGAAGTATGAACCTTACTTGAACTACATTTCTTAGATAAATTATTAATCAGTTTTAGCTGACATCTGTCATCTGTAGTCGCTTTAAAATGCTTGGTTCAGTGGTCTATTTAACACTAAATATTCGATAATATTTACTTATACAATTTAATTTTACTAACAACTAGGAATAATTGTTGAAGATATAATTTGATTTTGCAAATGTTAGCAGTTTGTCGAACGCATAACCAACAAGGCGCGTCTAGTATGTTAAAATCATCTGTATGGCCTGATTGTATACCAAGAGCCTCACACTTGATCCCCTTTACTACTAAAGTCTGACACTGGCAAGTTACAAGATTCCTACTATTAAAGTCTACCGTTTATTATAAAAAAAATATTTAAGAGTTCGCAAACCGTTTCAGTGCTTCAAGGGTTTGACACTAATAGTAAGGTCTTCCGAAATCTGTAGCTAGCTCAGATAGTGTAGTCATCACAAGGTATGAAAACCCGTTAGAAAAGCTCGCATATCTAAGCGAAGCAGTTGGTAGACTGACTACACAGTGAAAGGATCATTATTGATATAGTAGCGACATAATGGACACTGTATTTAACCTTTCGCTGCTGGTTCTAATGCTGCCTTATTATTTGATTCTCCGCTGCCCAAGCTAAGCGAATAGGTCTTCTCGATTAGTTGGTCGACTTTGTTCCGCACTTCCAGCAGCTCCGCCCGAAGATCGGTTATTGCGTTCGCGTCTTCATCTAAAAATATCGTGCAAGTTATTATTGCTGTTTATATAACCATCAGATCATTCCTGCAAAGCAGCGCACGAGGACCCACACGAATCTGTATAGACAAGTAGAACGCTCAGCTTTCTTCCGGTTCAATGATACGCTTTGAACAAAAGTAAACTACACAATAAATACACAACGACAAGTTTGATTATATACTCACTTTGCACAAGAACGCGGAGACGTAACACTCTCGAACATTGAATAGCCTGGGAGACATCGCAATTATCAACGATAGTCACGAGGTCACCATCCTCATCCTTATATTTCAAACTGAAAATATTAGCACAAATATATTTTTAATTCATTACCAGAAATATGAGAGACTATGTCGAAAACTTGTCATAAACGCCATAGACACTAGAAAAAGGCAGTAACCTATCGGATGATCAGATCAACATGTTAGCCTTAAGTATCAAACAAATTGCTCACGTTATCTGGTCCTGAGTGGAGAGACTTCCTCGGAAGACCCGTTGCATCATGAGGATGAGCTCATCGAAGGTGATATCCTCATTGTGAATGGCAATACGTCGGATATCGCCCTCCAATTGCGCCTATTTGTTGCAGACAGACGAAATAACTATCAAATAAGTAAGTAATCAAAGATAAACTAATAATTAACGTACTTGCTTATAAGCTAAACCTATAAAGTACATCTAAAGATTGAGAAACTACTAGCTTTAATTCTGCTAATACATCATTCAATGCGACCCCTCTTAGCACACTTGAAATACCTTGATGACAAGCTTTCCCGCGAGGGCATCAATCTTCGCATCTCCTGACGACATCTTCACTCGTTCAACTGTTATTCACCGCGAGGATTGTCGATTCGAGAATAACTTTCTGGCTAGCTAAATGCGTCTAGAAGTACCTCAAAACATTTATCTGGAAAATAAAACCTTAACAAACGTTAATTTGTGGACTGTTGGTGGACTAGATATTGTTTCGGCAACAAGACACTAAAGCAGATATAAGAATTAATTCCCCCTGATATGAAATGAACGAATGAGGTTTTCTTACAAAAAAAGTAAGCGCTTCTGTGGAATCGATCATAAGATGACTCTAAATCTCATCTTACTAAAAGCTAAGTTTGCCTGCAAATACAGGACACATCCGAAGCGGTTTTAAGCGCTTAGAGCTCTGTTATCTCACTGGTGAGAGGCAGTCAGAAATAATTCAGCTTAATTTCATGTAGTAACAGCCGTGTCGATGACGCTTTACAGGTTTTAGATTTCAGCAGATAATATTCAGCGGCCAACTTAGTATTGTAAATGGTACGCGTCTTTGAACTATGAGCCAGTAAGACTAAAGAAAGCTGTGACCGTAACAATGGATATCTCTACGATTCTAATGTGAGTTACGGGCATTTTGCAGTAAGTCATCTAGTCCTCTCACAGCTTCATTGCAGGCTTCACTATGCTTTGTTTCAATTGAAATTAAGAAAGCTAAAGATAATATTAGCCGTCATAAGTTATAATGCAAGACTTTCACAGCACTGAAGACACGTCATCCACTAAACCGCTCCTAAACTAGGGACTTATATTTGATAGAACACTTCTCACTTTCTGGGACGAAATTCAAGACATTTTCTGCACAAAAAAAACTTACAAAGTCACGCAGTTGTTAGCAGATCAGCGAGACGAGTGTCCCGCACTTTGGAACTCTGTCAAATTTGTCACTACACAGGCCACCAGCTTGTAAAAATTTGCACCGGGCCATGAACACTCAGATCGACACGAATCAATAAAATTGGACCCCTGACTGGGAGTGCATAGAAAGCGCAGTTCCTAGGAGGTTAACAGCGACCCAAGGTGTATTACTAAATATTGTCTGTTTTTTTTAATCTTACCGAGACACTGACATGAGAATTTTTTGGGCTTAAAAGATTTTCTTCTAGAAAATGAGATTCCCCTTTATATGTTACCATTTACCGATAAATTATTTTTTCTGTTGGTCATGCCGGACACGTGACCCCACACAGTTGCCATGTTCCGTGTGTTTGGATGATTGGATCTCAATAGAACGGTTGATGGTGTTGAAACCACCTAATGCTCGGCTGAACTGTCGCATGAGTAATATTTGATCTCCAGTCAAGCGACGAACTCCTTATAGAGTGATACGTTCCAGGGAGCCTTGTGGAAGGCTCTGTAGGCTGTAAATCTATATAGGTTAGTTTACTGTAACAAGGACTGAAGCAACGGGAAGAAAGAACAATATTTGGCTGTGACCTGACTTTTCTGATTGAGCAAAGAATTGCGTTGTAAAAGGCGTCAAAGCTATTAAAGGGCCGACGCATATTAGAGCAATGAAGACGTTTTAAAAAATAACGCTATAGCTTTCCATATTCTATTCAATAAAAATTTGCTATATTCCTATAGGTTACACAGGAGATCGTCAGAATTAGCGTATAAAGTAACTCGTCATTGTTTCTGTTTTTGCTGAAACGCTTTGAAAAAGCTTGAAAGATTTTTCGCCTTAACCTCGTTCTCTTGACTACCCTCCTGCCACTAGGAAACACGTACTGTCACTTAACTGATTTCCTTATTTGTTAAAATTATACTGCTCAGATATTTTTGATTATTGTTTATCTTGTACCCAGCTATTATAGCAAAATAAAAGTTCCCATTCTATAACTAAAAGTGGATGGAACTAATGCCGTTATTAGGAATGACGTTTTCCAGGGCAAGGCAAATGGTAAATAGCCTGTTGTTAAATGATTGCAGACGGGGTTTTCAAGTGTTTGGTTATAGTGAGACTAAGTCGATATGATTCTTCTTGAAACGAACAACAAAATTGTGGAGGACCTTCTTCGAATTAAATTCAAGAATCACAAAACTGGTGCAAAGGTAAGATTAAAAAATATATTTTTCTTAAACCTAAATATTTGTTTTTAGCTCCCTTTAAAATATTTTCGTTTACTGCCTTTTTAGCCTCTTGCTAGAAGTATTACAAACGTGTGTGGATTCTCTCTATATATAGCAATTAGCCGATCGATATAACGACTCCTACGCATAAAAGGGCTAAATTTAATTCGTGGCCGATATACTACTAACGAAATATCATTATACAAATGAAGAAACTTAGAACTAACAGCGTGCAGTTAATGTTGTAAAAATTATATTCAGTAAGTATAAAAAGAATTCTGTAATTTCAACCGGGATCGACCTGTAACTAGCCAGTATTTCTAACGTAGTAGAATGTTGTGTTCTTTAGTTCGGTAGCCAATAAATATTGATCTATCAAGAGAGCATTGGAACATAAGGTGTTTCTTGTGTATTGTTCTAGGCGGATTCAGTCGATGTGACGATAGCCGATTTCGATGGAGTTCTGTTTCACATTTCGAACCCAAATGGAGATAAAGCTAAAATCCGTCTTTCCATCTCCCTTAAATTCTATAGGTAACTTTGGTCTGTGTGCGAGAAAACTTGCAATTATATTTTAAATGAATGAATCCTTCCATGCTTTGTATTATGTCTTCGCAATGCTCTCAACAGATACTTCAAACGATTATATATTGATGTAGATACTTGGATAGGATGACCAAATCCTACAAAGCGTGTCCCCCGATCATTTCGTTTACGAGCATTCCTTGCATGCATCGTTTTTAGAGAACTACAAGATCATGGAGCGGATGAGCTTCTAAAGCGCGAATATGGTAAGTTGTTTGTATAATAATAATATAATGTTAATTAATTAGATTAACAATACTGTGTTGGTTGTCGCAAAAGCGTGCGCTTCTTTGAACCTTCTATAAATCGTAAACTCCAAGTAATGGACTACATCTTTCAGCGCACAGATGCTGTATCACAGAAAGGAGTGGTTTATTCTACGATGGTGAATTCCCTGAGACATTTATTAGCATATCTCAAATTTGCTATCTAGCTGATACTTCTCTAAAATATGAAAGATTTTAATTTCAGCAAAACATGCAGTTACGTTCGCCCAGAGCAGATATTATTAAATTTCGTACTCTTAAAATATTTCAAGTTGGCTCGTTGATTGCCTACTCTGGCGCTATTCGCTTTGAGAGACTGTACGCCTCATGGAACAGCTGTAGATAAAATATTTATTAAAAACCTTGATACTATCATTACTTATTGCATTATCGTTTGGATTACAATTCCAAGATCATCCAACATTAAGCTCATTACACAGGAATATTATAAAACTCTATTCTAAGAACAAGATGACCATTCAATGAGTGCAAATGATATTTATTTTTTCGCATCGTCAAAATTCGAACAAAAGCATATTTACTTTTGTTCCAAAATACATGGATTCGATTGCATCGCAATCATGGTGACAGCCTGCATGTTAGCGTCCAGATAATACCAGTATATCACTGATGCGGCAATATCAAGTAAAACGTGGCGCATCGTCTGTTACAAAATAAATACCAACAAAACACATAAAAACATTTTTAAAGGATGGCTTTATAAGAGACCATATAAAATTAATAATAGGGGCTATCCAAGTCACATATACTAGCAAAGAGGTTTTTGCACAAATTGTAATGGAACTACGTGCAACAAATGTTGGAGAATCGGCACGCTCATGGCAGGTGGCTACAGAAGCTATTCACAACTACCGCATCTGACGTTTTTATGATTCAGGACTTATGGGACAGACTATTTGATAAAAATTAAGGAAGACAAGATTATGGCAGTCAGTTAATGAGGAACATCGGGATAAGGATTATATGCATTCGCATATGCAATAGATGCTATATATTCTTATAATATATGGCTATATTAATATAATCTATTTGTAGCAAATTCTTCTTACCTTTTTTAACTGGTGCAAGTAGCCGTTACAGTGCTGTAGAAAAATGCCGTACATCGTTACATTAACGGGTAGCATCGTAGATTGATACAAATGAAATGAGAGCATATTGGATTAATGTCACTCAGACTGTTCTTCGAAGCGTGAAAGCTTCGTGACGAACAGCAGAACGTCACAGCTCGTTTTGTAGTTAGCAAAAAAATTATTTTGCAAAATAGCTATTTTTGTAAGAACACCATATTTTAGGTGAGTTTTGTATTTCTCATGTTGATACAAACCAATCTACAGCAGCGACGTGTTTAACGATAGGTAGGCTATAATGAACCCTAACAAAATTGATCGATGAAATTACAGGTGATATTCTTGAGCCCGAGCCAGAGAAAATGTACAACGTATCAATTCTATTTGACCTCGATTCGACGCCAAAAGATTACGAACCTCTCATTAAAAAGGTATACAGGAATTGCAGACATCCCATATGTCACTAAACGTTTCAAAACTAATCGATTGGGAAACTTGCTTTGGAAGGTCTAGAACAGAAGCGAATACTACTTATCACGTCGTAATTATAGACATGTTTTTGACTGATTGAATAACTGTTTATGCTAACATGAAACGTTTTCTGACTTTACAGGCTGGTCTGCTAAAGCGAAACTGCTTTGCATCGGTGTTCGAGAAATACTTTGAGCATCAGGCAAAACTGGCCAAGAATCCTGAAGGTGGCGAGCTTAAAAGAGCTGTTATTCACTACAGGTATGTGTACAAGTAAAAAAACAACGTTAGTTAACCCTTAATTAAATTTATTTTTGTACGAAGTAAGAAAACATACAATCTTAAAACCCACAAGGTCTTGCAACCCCTTCAGATGAGTTAATTATCTTATCCCATCAAAGATGTGGTGAAATCAATTCTCTAGCCAGTTGCAGGTTGTCTTGACTTCGACTTGAAACGAATAAGCATTTTATTCGTGGCGTACTCTCTCTCTCTCTCTCTCTCTCTATATATATATATGTATATATATATTAGTTTAAAAGTTCCTCTTGTTTTTAGGGATGACGAAACGATGTACGTTGAAGCAAGCCACGACCGCGTGACCGTGATCTTCTCGACGATTTTCAAGGACGAGGATGACGTTATTATAGGAAAGGTTGATACCCAATGAATTTCCCGGCATATTTTAACACTGGGACGTAAGTCAATTTATGCTTTCTTGATCGGCCATCTTTTTTATTAAGGCGTGAGAGCGGTGTCGAAAGCTTGCACATACGACATGCGTCAAGAACTGAAAACTCCGCATTAGTTATGGCCAACGTCTGCTGCTTCTCAAAACCCGTTTAAGTTGGCTCTATAAGGGGTACGTATTTAATTGTGTTTTGCTGTATCCTTTGAAATGGTCTAACGTCTGTACACCCTTGCAGGTGTTTATGCAAGAATTCAGAGAGGGTCGTAAGGCGTCACATACAGCGCCGCAGGTACTATTCAGTCATCGAGAACCTCCGAGGGAGCTTCAAAATACAGACGCTATGACTGGAGACAACATTGGTATGAGAACCAGATTTGTTTCATTCTATGAAAACATCAGTTTTGTTATACTAGCTATATAACTGTATATACCGTTTAAGGATGTATCTTATCAATACTGAGATTTTAGGAGCTGTAAATATTTTGCTTGGTGAAACAAGTGTAGAAGACAAGTTGTCAAACCAAACTTGATTGACGCCGAACCTATGTAATAATTATTTCTACCCATTTTGACAATTTCCAGATATCTCTCATTGTCCCGGTAAGCACCTCGTGTGCAGAGTGAAAATCGTAGTAAAAGATTAGCTTTTCCGAGTCTCTTCAGTGTTTGGTTGAAGTGCATTAACTTAAGCCGATCGAACTGAAATCTAGCCGTAGCTCTTATTGTTGTTGGCATGCTAGTTCCTCTTTGTCGACTATAATTCGAGGCTATGATATTTTACCAAGGTGTGACATACGTGTTTAGTATTTAAAAAAAAACGGTAAAATTAAAATTACCTAAAGTTGAGTAGATATCCAAAGCATGTAGCTTTGCATGTATTTAGTTAGCTTAATTCGCGTGTTGACACTTAAAGATCCTGCAGTGAGTATTGCATTGTATGATTCGATTGCTTAAAACAGTTTACGGTTTGGGTTTTCAGGATACATTACTTTTGTTCTGTTCCCACGACATACCTCGGTTCAGGCTCGTGACAACACAATTAATCTTATTCACTTGTTTAGGTAACGGCAACTTTTTGCGTTACTAGATAAGGTGTAACTGTAGACCTTAAAAATAAAGCGATACAGTATTCAGTGTTGAAATTTCAAGTCAAAATAATAAATTATTAAGAAGATTAAAGAAAATTTAGTAATGTAATAGGAAATCCTATATTGTTTGCAAATTATCTTCAAAAAAGATATCTCTATAATTAACTTCATGACGAATGTATACTAATCGATATATATATATATATATGCGCTGCGATCGACAGGGATTACTTGCACTATCACATTAAGTGCTCAAAAGCTTACATCCATTCTCGAATGCGCGCTAAGACATCGGACTTCTTAAAAGTAAGCGTTAAAACTATTGCATAAACGCATTTATCGTACGGTATTTTTGTGACGATCATGTGGTGAATCGTATTTATTTAATTATCAACTATCTTATGAAATAGAAATTGCAGAAATAATGACTAACTACCAATTTATTTAATATCAGGTGTTGAATCGCGCTCGACCCGAGAACAAGAGCACGGAAAAAAAGACAATTTCCGGGCGAACATTTACGAGAAACAACTAAACAAGCTTCATCAGCTCGGAACTCTAAAACGACAACATCCATCTGTATTTAATGATCCTTCGCTGGAGTCATCAAGGATTTCCTCTATTTCTTCAAAGCAAAAACTAGTTGAGCCTATTATAATAGAGCAAGAAGGACACTGGTTTGCTTACTCTTGATAACAATCATTGCCGTAAGAAAACGAAAAGCAAACATATGCTTGTTTCACCTGCCATCTGTGAAAGGAATCTTCCGTATGATTTTCAGCTAAATGAGAAATGCGTAGAGAAGAGAACGGCGATACGTGCAACGGCATGTAAACGAATGTTTGATGAACAAATGCAATCTAAGAACAGAATATTTATCGTATACACGTATTTTTCCTACGGTTTCTGTTGTCAAGTTTCTTCCCCATTTCTACGGCTAACTTCGTAACAATCGACTTAGTGTTTAACACAGACTAAACATGAAACAGAGAGAACAGCGCTTGAAGTAGCTGTTCCAGTTCTCTGGTCTTGAGTTGCAACTTCAGTAGTCTGGTTCGGACAATACTTCGTAATACATAACATCGTAACAACAATAAGATTATTGATAAGTTATTGATGTAAGTTTATAGCGACTGCTGAATAATAAACGCATTTTGAACCGTAATCATCACATATGGTTTATTTGGCATCGATATGCATTTTCGAGCCATTGTGGTAGTTCCAAGCGATTGTCCAGGTAGTTTTTGTGATAGGATACAAGATTTTCTCAGTTAAGCAAATCAAGATTCTTAGCAATTCATTGAAATATTAATTAACGAGTACATAATAAGTGCAAAATATAATAATATAATAAGTGCATATTGTTCGCGTTTACCAAATAAGTGATAACCATGAGTATGAGTATTGGCAGAAATGTAGGTTTTGTTGGAGCACGTAACTTCTTTTTAACTGCGCCATAGATTCGTTCTGTCTTATTTAGAGCAGTTTCGAAAGCGGCTTAAAAAAGAGTAAATAAGCTTTTTGGATGTCTCCACATGAGTTATTGAATGGTTTTGCTTGCATGCTGTTTTTTGTTTTTCTTTTGCTCATCTAAAAATTTCGCATGCGCGTGTTTATATGTAAAGTTTTCTGCTAAGTCTCGTAACGTCCAATTAAAAGTCGGTAGTTTAATCTCATCATCCTAATAGTAACATCGAAATTCTTCGTTACTGAATTGGTAACTAGAAAGTAATAACAGAACAGAAGCTGGGGTACAGAAAACTGCGTGACGCGAATCCGATTCTCATTGCTTAGTGAAGCTTCTTAGAAATGCTTTGAAAAAGGTAAATGCAAATAGGTGTATCCGAACATAAACAGCAATGTTAGAACATTGTAAATTTGCTTACAGGTGAACCGTGAGACCACCGAAACTACTGAGGCACCCATTTAGTACGCTACATGCTATGTCGTTACTTGTGCACATACAATACGCAGAAGTGACGACGAGTACTTCTAATAATTTTAAGAACGTAGTTCAATGGTGCTGCACGTCATTGTAACAGGTACGACACAACTAGAACAAGCGTTCGACAGCGTGAGTTAACTTTTGGTGCTTACGCCCCATTGTGGGTAGCCTGGGCTGTTAGTTCAGGGGGTCGAGCGAATTTCTTCATCGACCCGATTGGGCATTGCCAGCCTCTTTTAAGCTATGCAACACGTTCTCGTCTTTCCCTGTTTAGTAGAGGGCAGTAGAGGGTTGCGAGACTTCCTGTGGTAGTGGCTATTGAAACTTGAAGTGCTGTGGGAGCGCCAGGTCCGGCATCCTCATATGGCTTAGGCCCGCATTGTGTGCGAGCGTGAGCGCTGTGAGGGTATTGCGCGGGTATTGAACAGGCGACTGGGGAAAGCTGCGGCAGCGACAGCCGTTTTAGGAAGAGTAGATCGACGTCATCACTCTGTGAGCGCGTACGGCAGGTCGCCATACGCCCTTCCCCCTTGTGAACCTCAAGTTTGATGCAGTAACTTTATGCGGCTATCAAAAAAGTAAAAAAAAAAAGTTTGACCACTGTTTAACCATCTCTGCTATTCCTGTTCCATACGTCCATCGACGTGGCTCATATGCACTTACTACAGAAGTCAAAATGGATTAGGATGAGCTCGTTTAAGTAGTGCCCCCTATACCCTTCTCAAGCTGTTGAACAGAAATAAGCGAATCCGGTTTGCGGCGGCGTGCACTAACAATGGCTTGTATGCACACATACCTCGAATAATGGGTCTATGGAACAGATATAAATTCTTGATTTTACGAACCTCTATCCTATAATATAAAGTCGCTGGTCCCACTGAATATATAGCTCATGCTAAATGCTCTTCTTTTAAGATAAATTCTGTCGGGACCATATCGTGCTGTCCGTTCTTTGAATATCTCTTAAATGTTTCGGGTATTATAAGCATACCTTACTTAGCTATAACGATCTTTCCTTACCCACGGGTTCCATTTGTTTTCGGTAGTCAAGTATGATGCATGTTGACTGGTCAATTCTTTTGCAGGCTGAAAGCAGACTTATCTACAAGCTAAGAAAGAAAGTGAATTAAACACGGAATCATTGCCTCATTTTTATCATTTTTTATCATTTATTTTTCAGTTTATCATTACGTACGGTCAACTGAGAAAATCGGCTGATTTTAATAGAATTATTTGAGCGGTATGACAGCATTCTATAGAGACAAGAGGCATTTGTAGTTGCTATAAATTAATCCGTGAATATCCGTACAGTTTACTAATAAATACACAATAGAGCTGCCAGGGTTGGCGAGGCCAAAGTAAGTAGCACGCTATATAATTTTCGCAGAGTATATATCGACTAGTGCGCCAATATATACTCTATTGTATATGTGATAAAATGGGGGGCTAATAACAACACGTTATGTGAGGACACGATATTGTAATTATAGAAATAGTCTTCCACCAACAGGAAGCCCTAATCAGTGAAGACCAAGCAAAAGTAACTCTTAACTCATAAAATATTTTGCACCGTAGAAAATCTCGAATTCTTCAAGCCTCTTTAGTTCTCTTAGCGATTTTGTACGTTACGCGATACTGCAAGCGTCCTCCATTTTGTACATGTTAGACTGAAGCTTTTGCTCTGTTACGCCGAGGTGTGTAGTACAGTATCCTTATTACGCCTCAGGTGCGGGTAATACAGGCGTTTAGGTTGTTGTGGCCTGATGGTTGTAGCCGAAGCTGAGGTAATAGTGGTGAACAGTGGAGACTGATTGCTGGTTGGGGGAGCCTCCAACCAGGATGAGGTGTGGCGGGTGTTCGTTACCGGTTGCTGTCTGCTGGGAGGAACAAACGGACATTCTAATTTTCTCTTTTTAGCTTTTCTTTCCTTTCTTCAGTGCCTTTACGTCCGCGCTGAGTTCAGTCACTTGCCGATGATTTTCATTGGCAAGCACAAACGTTGACGAGAACGACTCGATGACGTTCATCTTGATTGCTTGACGGATAGGTAGTCAGTGTAGGTCTTTTTTGATACTCGGCGGCAACTAATACTTTAAATTAGTTTTGTAAAGCGATTCAAGCAGCAATCGTAATTTCCAAATACACCTTGTACATTTGGCCTTTCAGTAAATCGTTAACTTTGCTACAATAGGCTTATTATTAACGCAGTCAAGCATTTACTTAATGTACGATGTGTCGTTCCTATCAACTTGATTCCCTATCAAAAAGGACACCTTTACTAAGAGGCTATTAATTTTTGCTTCAGCAAAACGAAAGTCATAACAGTTCTCTGGCAGTGCTAAATTGTAAAATGAATTGTAAATTTATGGCCGCATTCTATTTTAATGATGTCGATTAAGTTGTATTTGATATTTATCGTTTAAGGACTTTGTTTATGTCCCGTACTCGCCGCGGCTTGTAACTTGTCATGATATAAGCTTGCCGGCCATTCCGTCCTTTTTAAAGTGTCGGCAGGCTTTTATAGTTAGTGGCCAGGACACCGAATTACGTTTTTACGTAGAGACAAATAGTACGCCCAGTATACTGTTCACTGAAAATTAAAACTGATCGCCAGCTGATGATCGCCAGGGTTTAAGTTAATTTCCTAGCCTTTGTCGTCCTACCCGCAAAAGTTATTTTAAGAATGTTTCGTGAATTTTCTACAATAATATCTAGGTGTCACGGGAACAATTATAGGTAACATGTACTACCCAATTTGGCGTTCGGTTAAGTTAAACTTGACCCATTGAACAAGCAGTGGTTGATCATGGCGCGGCGCGCCATGGGTTGTATTACGGTTTATTTAGCTATGAATACATCCAAATAATAATACAAAGCCTGCCAAAGATGAACGAAAATTACTATCACACGTGCACAAAAGTCCATGACTATTTTTCGAATGACCTAGCATATTATAGTGCATTGACAAGAATAATCCAGAAGGTCGCTTAATACAAGGCAGGCGTCAACATTAATACAACGCTAACGAATTTTTTCGCCCTAATAAAAAATAAATCTAACGAAAAACAAGAAAACTCGAACATTAAACACTCTGACCAGGCAAAGTGAAGCCGACAATACTCAAAATGAATGACCAATCCCAGAATGAGAAATGTTTAGTAACGAAAACAGCAGGGTCAGCTCTGCGGCGGGTCGTCGACTGCCAACGCTACTGCGCCGCTACACAGCGGGAAACAAGCATTTATTCTCGAGATTCACACCTCGTCCACATACAGAACCGTCGGATATTACCGTCTTTTGGGCCAAACGTTTATGGCTTTAACGCCCGCACGATCGAACACCCGCGCGCCCATTTGCGTTCGTCTGTGCATTTGTCCATTTCTGCAGTACGTCCACATCCTACACAACAACAACAGCGGCAAGAAGCGCTAAGAAGCAGATGCCGAACAGTGTCGGCCGCCAGACGCCGACAAAATCTTGTCTTGTCTCTTCTGAAACGTTGTGTTGTTGTTATCCATGCACTTTTACAACAGTATCCGTAACGGCATCTAGAACAACGCTGACGTCGTTGTCGCTATCACCGCGCCTTCGAAGATCCGCTTGCGAAAAGATCGGGAAAAAAGAGGGCGGTGTCTTTCTTTTGAGACGACAACATGGCTTTCAATGTTCTGGCTAAAGCCATTTGACAAGAAAAGCTAAAGCTAGCAGCCGACCCATAAGGAGAGCATGAATCTCCGAAGCGAGCCTCTTTTGGGTTAAACGCCCTCTTTTCCATTGTTCAAGATCAATCAATCAGTGGCCATAGTACCATACTGATCAATTGTTGCCTGAGTAGGCGACAAATTCAACTAAAGATTTGCCTCAAAATGGTAGGCGCTATTTATATATATATATATATATATATATATATATATATATATATATACATTTATATATATATATATATGAGAGAGAGAGAGAATGTGTCAACGGCAGTACTGACATATATCGAAGATTCGACATTACTTTTACGAGACCTAACCGCGCTACTGTGCAGAGTTTTGCATATATGCGAATATACACAGCCACGTTATTGACGCATCAAAAAAATCACTCTTTTCATAGCTGTTGTAAACGGCCTTTCGTTCTTACATGATATTAAGTGCAATCGGTTACCATTCATAGCCAAACTCGGATCCTGCCCAAGGCCTAGATGTGATGCACCGAGTGCTATTCGTGAAT